AGCTCCTTACCCATCTTTTAATTGGGTTGCTTCTTGTCTTGATTCTCTATTTTTTGAGTTGTTATATATTCTGGATATTAAACCTCTGTTGGATATGTCGCTGGTGAAGATTTTCTCCCATTCTGTGGGTTTTCTGTTTGCTTCCCTGTTTGCCTCCTTTGATGTACAGAAGCTTTTTAGTTTAATGAGGTCCCATTTGTTAATTCTTGCCCTTGTTTCCTGAGCAATTGATGTCTGGTGTACAGAATCCTTTCCTACACCTATATCTTGTAGGCTTTTCCCAATGTTTTCTTCTAACAGTTTCAGAGTTTCAGGCTTTACATTGAGGTATTTGATCCATTTGTAATTGACTTTTGTGCAGGGTGAAAGATGGGGGTTTAGTTTCATTCTTCTACAGGTGGAGATCCAGTTTTGCCAGCACCATTTGCTGAACATGCTGTCTTTCCTCCAGTGAATATTCTTGCCCCTTTGTCAAATATCAGGTGGCTGAAATTGCATTTACTCATATTTGGGTCTTCAATTTTGCTCCATTGGTCTATGGGTCTATTTTTGTGCCAGTACCATGTTCTTTTTATGCCTATAGCTCTGTAACACATCTTAAAATCTGGTACAGTAATCCACCCCCAGCATTGCTCTTAGTGCTCAGGGTTGTTTTGGTTATCCAAGGTCTTTTGCACTTCCATATGAATCTTAGGATGTTTTTTTACAATTCTGTGAAAAATATCATGGGAATTTTAATTGACATTGCATTGAATCTATAAATGACTTTTGGTAGGATGGTCATTTTCACAATATTAATTCTTCTAATCCATAATGTTCTGTATCTTTCTGGTATCTGTTTTGATGTTTCCCCTTTCTGATTTTGTTGATTTGGAGGTGCTCTTACTTTCTTTTGGTTAACTGGGCTAGCGGTCTGTCAATCTTCTTTATCTTTTCAATGAACCAGCTCTTGGATTTATTGATTCTTCGTATTGTTTCCTTTCTTTCAATTTCATTAATTTCTGCCCTGATTTTTGTTATTTCTTCTTGTCTGCTGGGTTTGGGTTTTGTTTGCTGCTGCTTTTCAAGTGTGTTGAGTTGCAACGTTAAATCATTTATTTATGTTCTTTCCGATTTTTTGATGTAGGCACTTAGAGCTGTAAACTTCCCTCTAAGGACCGCTTTCAGCATGTCCTAGAGGTTTTTTTGTATTGTATTGTCCTTTTCATTTAGTTCCAGGAATACTTTTATTTCTTTCTTAATTTCTCTTTTGACCCATTCATCATTCAGGAGTGTGTTGTTTAATCTCCATGTGTTCATGTGGTGATTAGGGCTTCTTTGGGTATTGATTGTAAGCTTTATTGCATTGTGGTCTGATAGAATTCATGGAATTATTTCAATCTTTTTGTATGTGTTGAGGTTTGTTTTGTGCCCCAGCATATAGGTGATTTTGGAGATGGCTCTGTGGGGTACTGAGTAAAAAGTATGTCCTTTGGTGCTTGGGTGGATGCTTGGTAGATGCCTGTTAAGTCCATTCCGAGTACTGAAGTCCCCTACTATTAATGAGTTGGGGTTAATCTGGGTCTTAAAGTCCTGTAGTATTGTTTTTATGAAGTTGGGTGCACCAGAGTTTGGTGAATATATGTTCATGACTGTAGTATCTTCTTGATTGATTGTTCCTTTGATCAAAATGAAATAGCCCTCTTTGTCTTTTCTGGTTAGTTTCAGTTTAAAGTCTATTTTTTCAGCTATTAGAATTGCTACACCTGCTTTTTTCTTAGTACCTTTTGCTTGGTATATTTTTTTCATCCTTTCACTTTAAGATAGTGTCTGTCCTTGCAAATGAGATGCGTTTCTCACAGACAACAAAAAGATGGGTTTTCTTTCTTAATCCATTCACCTAGTCTGGGTCTTTCGACTGGGGAGTTCAGTCTGTAATATTTAAAGTTATTAATAAAATATGAGTATTGAATCCTGTCATTTTTATTTCTGTTTACATTCTTGATATAGCTGTACTTTTCCACAGTTGTACCTTCATTGAATTTCTTTCCGTAACCCCTTGGGTATAGTCATTCCTTTCTTCAGCTCTTTGTATTGCTTCCAGAACTCTCTGAAGGGCTGGTTTTGTGGACATGAATTCCTTCAGCCTTTTTATGTCACGGAACATTTTTCTTTCCCCTTCAACTATAATAGACATTTTGGCTGGGTATAGTAATCTGGGTTTGCATCTGTGGTCATTTAAGATTGGGAATGCTTTGGTCCAGGCTTTTCTGGCTTTCATAGTTTGCACTGAAAAGTCAGCTGTAATCCTAATGGGTTTTCCTTTATATGTGACTTGTTGTTTTTCTTTTGCAGCTTTCAGTATTGTCTCTTTGTTTTGTACATTTAGTGTTCTTACTATGATGTGCTGTGGAGAGTTTCTTTTCTGGTCCTGTCTGTTTGGTGTTCTATATGTTTCTTGTATTTGTATGGGCATGTCTTTCTTTAATTTTGGGAAATTTTCTTCCATGATTCTGTTGAAGATCTGGTCCATGCCATTATCTTGGGATTCTTCTCCTTCCTGTATGCCTTGGTCTTTTTATGATTTCACACAATTCCTGCATATTCCATTCTTGTGATTTCTTAAATTTTTCATAATCTTTGCTTGAGTTATCTAGTTTGTCCACTTTATCTGCCAGTCTTGATACTCTGTTTTCCATTTCATTCATCCTATTAGTGAGGCTTTCTCCTGTCATTTCTAATTGGCTTACTGAGTGTTTCACTTCCTTCTTCATTTCAGCCTGAGTATTCTTCAATATTTCTAACTCTTCTGAATTCATTCAGAAGTTTATCCCTATCTTCCTTCAGTTCTTTGATTTGTTTGTGTGTTCTTTAAATTCACTGAATTCTTTTATCATGTTTATGATTGTTCTTTTGAGTTCCATGTCCTGCATTTTCTCTAGGGTGTTCTCATTATACTCATCTAGAGAACTATTAGTATTTAGTGGGGATATGCTATTTTGGTTTTTCATGTTGTTATTTTTTTCTCTGTGATTTTGACATGTGAATTTCTTTTGTAGTTTCTGATTCTTGTGTAAGACTCAAGCCTTCAAGTTTAGGTCTGCTTCTTTTTGTGAACTTTATGTGTCTTTCTGGTTTACTTTCTGGGCATGAAAAGCTGGTTCCTCTATGCTTCCAGTTCTCTTTTGATTTCATATTGGAGTGGCCAGATTGCTTTTGTCTTCAGGAGTTCCCAAAGAGGCCCAAGTTAGATGGGGTTCAGATGCTGTCAGGCTTTCTCCTAAGTTCTGGATCCCTTCAGGAAAGATTTTTGCCTCAGGAATTTGGGGGTTGGACTGGCCGGAGAGCCAGGCCCAGGAAAGATGCTGGTCTAGGGCAGCTAGTGGCTGTGCCACCCAGAGATGCAAAGGAAGATGGGGGTGGGAAGTGGCCCTAAGGGCTCCTGGGGACTGCACTGACGAGCTGGGTTGGTCTGGATGCAAAGGACCAGGAAGAGGAAAGGTCAGCCCCAGCAGTCCAGGAAAGAGGCTAGCACGTTGTGCAGACCCGTGGAAGCAGAGGGAGGTGAGGGTAGGGCCAGGCCAGAGTGTCCCTGGTGACCCAAGAAGGAACTGATTTGGTCTGGATGCAAAGTATCAGGAAGCATTGGTGGTTCTCCAAGGTGTCTGGGGAGTCAAGAGAAGGAATGGGAGAGGACCCAGGCTAGGAGAGACTGGCTGGGGGGGGGGGGTGATTTGGGGGGGGGAAAAAGGCTGGGGGAGTCAAGGGGCGGAGGGCGTGAACGACCTAAGCCGGAGAAAGAGGCCTGTGGGTCATGCAGGCCCAGGGAAGCAGAGGGAGGTGAGGGCGGGGCCAGGCCCAGAAGCAGTTCTCCTGAGGACCTGAGAAGGAACTGAGTTACTCTGGGTGCAAAGGATCAGGAAGCAGTGGTGGTTCCCCAGGTGTCTGGGGCGCCAAGACAAGGAATGGGACAGGTCCCAGGCTAGGAGGAGAGACTGGAGAGATGGGAGCTCGTGAATGAGGCTGGGGGAGTCAAGGCGCCGAGGGCTCATTTGACTTACCCCAGAGAGAGAGGCCTGCGGGTCGTGCAGGCCCAGGGAAGCAGAGGGAGGTGAGTAGTTAAGTGTTCTTAACATGAATGAGTCTTAAAAAAATGTCAAATGATTTTTCTGAGTCTATAATTGTATGATTTTTCTCTTCAATTCTACTAATATGATGGATTATGCTAGATTATCAGTATCAATATTGAACCTCCTTGTGCATGAACACTTAGAATAAATTCCACCTAGCCGTGGTGTGTTAGTTGTTTAACTCTACTATTGAATTCTGTGATATTTTATGATTTTTATCCATATTTATAGTTTTTAATTCACATTTATCTATTTATTTGTGTGTGTCTGCATGCATGCATGCATGCGTGCGTGCGTTCGTGCATGTGTGTATGTGTATTCATTTGTCCCAGCACACAAATGGAGGTCAGAGAAGAAACTTACGAGAGTCTTATCTCCTTCCACCATGGTGGTTCACTGATGCTTGTAATCCCAGTACTCCAGGAGGTAGAGACAGAGACAGAAGAGCAGGCTACAGCAGCATACGGGAAGCCGGGTTCTGTTGCTCTCTCTAGCAAGTAGAGAATCCTTAGGCACTCCAGAGGGGAAAGTTATCATCCCTACTTCACCATGTCCCACAACCCTGCTAGGCCCCACCCCTTGCTCTGGCCCTGCCCCTTGCCCCCGGCCCTTCCCCTTATCCGGCCCCGCCCCTTGTCCTGGCCCTGCCCCTTGTCCCTGCCCTGATCCTTACTACGGCCCCGCCCCTTGTCCCGGCCCTGCCCCTTACTACCGCTCAGCCCTTGCTCTGACCACGCCCCTTACATAGGCCCCGCCCTTTTCCCTGGTCCTGTCCCTTGCTCTGGTCCTGCTTCTCACTTCGGCCCCGCCCCTTCCTCTGGTCCCGCCCCTTGCGCGCAGGCGCACTCTTCTCCGTCCAGCCAATCGCCATGGACAGTTGTGGAGCCCGGCCTTCCTTGTCCGCCAATGCCGGAGGTCCCACCCGTCCAGGTCCCGCCCCCGCCAGGAGCTGGGCCAGAAGATGGCGGCGACCGCGGAGTTGAGGCTCCTGGAGAAGTCTCTGGGGCTGAGGAAGGGGAATAAGTACAGCGCTCAGGGCGAGCGGCAGGTGAGGAGTGGCGGCAGCTGGAGAACGGGAGGGCGGCCGGCGGCGGAACCCGCGCGGGGAGAGCCGCGGCTCGAGCGGACGCGACTCCCACGTGTGTGTGGCGGCGCGGGCTGGGAACCAGGGACCTCCGCGGGCCGCGGGGACTTGGCCTGGGCCTGCAGGGACGAGTCCGCACCGTCCAGGGAGCAGAAGGCCGGTCCGGGAGGACGCGGGCCGAGCCGTGGCTTCTACCCCCGGGACCCCGCCCTGCGCTCGCCGGCCGTTTACAGGGAAAGCTCCCGGCGTTCAGTGACGGCCCGCGAGCCGCGGGGACACGGACACCCGGACTCGCCGGTCCCTGTGACTGGCTGGGCCCCAGGTTGGGGCACAGTAGTGCGAGCTGCGTGGCTGGCCTCGTGGCCGAGAGAAAGACGAATGGGGGAAAGACACAGGGTTCGGTGGAGAGAACGAGACGGCACCCAGCGAGGGGCACCTGGCCGGATTGGAGGATCCAGACTTCCTAGGCTGTGCGAGAAGATTCGCGTTCTCTAAGGCGTAGGTCGTGGACAGAACGCGCTAGAGGAAGAAAATGGTTGTAGGAATATTATCCTGGATGTGTGTGGGGGCGGGGTCGTATTCCAGATCGATGGCTTGGTTTTATTTTTGGCCTTAACTTTTTTAAATATTTGGTCCAGGTTATAATTTTGCCCAGAAAGTAGCAGTCTTGTGGGTTTCCACCTAAGTTAACCTGACACCTGGAAAGGTTAAGTGACTCACCTATGCAATTGATTGGCAGAATGGAGGGCTTTGGCGCTGCGGTGGCTAGTCTTCCCAGAGTAAAGTGCTCTCTGCTCATCCAGTTTCCTTCTCATCAGCCACTACTCCCTTGCTTGGGTAATAGGTTTGTTTGGCTTTTTTTCTTTCAAGGAAACAGTCAAGAATCTTGCTTTTGAAGAATTTGTTATTTATTATAAGGGACAGACATCAGTAGTTAATTTAGAACCCAACAGAACTTTAAGGGGGGGGGAAAACTGAGGCGTGTTGAAGGAGAGTTTCTATAAAACTGGATCTTTAGTCTTCACTGAAAACCTGGTGTGCAAGAGGTTCAACTTTGAAAGACATGGCAAAGATTGGCAAGTTTGGGGGCAATAAATTGACCAAAATGAAGACTGGTGAAATGGAAGGTAAACCCAAGATGGAGTTTGAGACCCAGATGTGAGGTCTTTGAGTTCAGAATGTGGTTTTAGTGTCTTATTTAATGAAAACTTTTTTTTTCGAAGCAGGGTCTCCCTGTAGCCCCAGCTGTCCTGAACTATGTAGACCAGGCTAGCCTTGAACTCACAGAGATCCTTCTGCCTCTGCCTCTGCCTCTCAAGTGCTGGAACTACAGGCGTGTGCCACCATGCCCTGCTAATGAAAACATTTTTACACTGGGCCACAGTTTGTGTGCCCTGAAAGGATAGAGATATGAAATTGAGACATTTGGTGGACTGATAGCAGCAGTATGCCAGCCTGAAGGCATTCTCAGCAACAATTCCAGGAATAATTACAAAGTGAACACAGTCCAGAGATCAGTCATAGGAGAAGGCTCCTTTATAGTAAGTCAATACATTGCGATATTATTCCATTGAAAGTGGCTCACACCTGTGAATCCTAGCACTAGGGAAACAGGATCACCAGGAGTTTCAGGCCAGCATGGGCTACAGAATACGATCCTACCCCCCTCCTCCAAATGATTACTTTGAAGACCATGGAACCCTAAAATTGATATGAAAATAATTAAGTGTCCGGTGGTAATTCCTGCATAAGAACTGTGTATGTTAAAATTGTGTGAAGGGTAAAGAATGCGCGTCCAAGCCAACAGCCATGAGATCACATGCCTTGTCTGACAAGATGTATAGATTAGATGGAACTATAACTGGGGATATTTGAATTAACATGGTAGAGTTGTGAACTTGTTTCTACATATGGTCTTTGTAAGCATATTCAGAAAAGTACACTGATCTCAATGATTTACTACTGAATGCCCAGGTAACCATCCCTTTGAAGAATAAAACATTAAATACCAATACCCCCCAGCACCTTCTATTTTGTTTTTTTTAAATGAATGTTTTTACAAGAAAGTTCCTAGTGATAGTGAGATTCCGACTTCATTGAGTGCAGTGAGAATTCAAAGAGGTAAAGAGTGGGAAGGGAAGGTGTCTTTGCCCTGCTTACCATCTAGGTAACCTTTGAATCTGTCTGTGAAGCTATTTACAGATTCTCATTTTTCTGTTGACACAGATGTAAGTCCAAAAGTGCTCTACGGGTATAAATCACTGTATGGACAAGATACTGGATCATGGCTGCACAGAGCAGCAGGCTTCCAAAGAGAATAATCCTGTGGATAACGCTTCATTTTCTTAAGTTTCTCATGATGCTTTGTGGATTATGAAATGTTTATATCAAGAAATTGTAAGCTGGGGACTAGAGAGATGGCTCAGTGCTTAAGAGCACTGGCTGCTCTTGCAGAGGACCCAGGTTTGATTCCCAGCACCCACGTGGCAGCTAACAACATTCCATAACTCTAGTTCCAGGGGATCTGACACCCTCCGTGGGCTTTGCATGACACAGGTACACTTACGTACATGCAGGCAAAACACTCATACACATAAAATAAAAATAATAAAATATTTCTTAAAAAAAGAAAGTGTAAACTGATGGCAGTTCTTTCGTTTTTTGGGTGTGGTTGTTTTGGGCTTTTTGAGAATGGGTCTCCCTCTAGCCATAGTTGACCTGAAAGTCACTTTGTAGACCAGACTGGCCTCAATCTCACAGAGATCCACCTGCTAATTTACAGTTCTTAATGAGATCTCTTCAAAAGCAGACCCTTCCTACTGCTGTTGTAATATGGGGAAGTTTAAAAAAAGTTAGATTCCTTTAAGAACATTCACCTTTCTAAAACAGTGTGGATCATCTTTTTCTAACTGCCTGTTATATTTTATTTCCATTTCCTTTTGAAATGGAAAATGTGCTTATGAGAAGTTACAATACATTAAGAAATTCCAAATATTCTCTACTCTTGTAGAATTTATATTATATAAAAGGCGAACAAAATCTGTTCCCTTTGTCTCTTTGTAAGGAAACAAAATTGGTTTTAGGCAAAGTGAGCTTTCTCAGCCCTTGTCGCTTTTTTGTTGATAGAAGAGGGGGACGCATCTCCCCACGGTGCCAGTCCTTGTAGTTTAGGGTTCTGGTTGAGCAGTGAGATACCTGACTGTTTTGGTTGCATGAAAAGGTGACAAACATCACTTCAGATGGGAACATCTGATTGCTGGTGTAAACATCTCTAGCAGGCTACTCCCCTGTGATGATTATGGAGACTTCATGAGAGCTGCTTCAAGAAAGAAGCCAGGATGACTGAGACACCACTCCACACAGTCCCCTCAATACTCAGTAGACATTGCTTAAGTAAGAAGTAAACTTTTATTGGTCAGGGGATGTGACTCAGTGGTAGAACACTTGTCTATCATGTGCAATGTCCTGGGTTCCATCCCCAATACCACAGAAAATAAACTTATTTTACTAAACTGCTAAGATTTTAGATTTTGGTAATACCGTGTATCTGATTTGTCTGCATAAGTTTTTGGTTTATGAGTGAGGGTAATCTGTTGGTTTCTTGTTTATGGTCTTTTGAGACAAGGTCTTCCTATGCAGCCTAGGCTGGCCTGAAGCTTGTAATCTTTTCCCTTGGCCTCCCAAGTTCTGGGATTGCAGGCATGTACTGCCACATGTGGCCAAGTGTGGGCAGCGATTTAATGGGCTTCTAAATTTCTCATAATGTACATTCCTAGTTGTAAATATTTTGTAGCATTTAATGGTTTTTGCAGTGTTCTTGCCAATTACATCATTAAGCGTGTTATTAAATTATAAATCCTATGACCATTTTCCTAGCTTTCATTTGTATAATTTAGTGTCAGGTAGAATAATTTGAAGAAAAAATGAGGATTTTAGTAATTCCACTTAAAATCATGATGGTCTTTGTTTTTCACATTTTATCTGAGGGTTTTCTTTTTTTTCTTTAAGACTCCAGTTCTACAAACAAACAATGGCCCGAGTCTAACAGGACTGACTACAATAGCAACTCATCTAGTCAAACAAGCCAATAAGGAATACTTGCTGGGGAGTACTGCAGAAGAAAAGGCCGTGGTTCAGCAGTGGTTAGAATATAGGATCACTCAAGTAGATGGACACTCCAGTAAAGAAGAGATCCACCCTCTGCTGAAGGTACCATGACTATCTCTGTATAGGCTGTGGTGCAAGAGCCAGAAAACAGAAATCCTTCCCCAGGGTCCTTAGCTGAACTGTTGGCCTTCTTTACCTGTTCCCTTTTGCCTCAGGAAATTTGCATCTAATTACCCCAGCCTGAAATAGACTGCTTTCTCCTGCACATCTGCCCTCCTCCTGCACATCCCAGCTCTCATACCTCTGCTCAGACACTTCGGGATTGTACTCACTCCTGCTTGTACTCATTCGGCAGATGATGCAGCACCTCCTTCTCTGAAGTCAGGTGCCTTGTCTTGTCCTTCCTAGAACTGTTGTCATCAGTGGTCATTTTGTATGATTTTTTTTTTAATGTGATGGCTTAATGCCTGCCTCCCTTGGCAGGCAGCCCTTAGTTCTAAAAGGCAAAAGTGGTTTCTCAGAGACAGGGGAACTCAAAATCTTTAGGTTGTGGCTTAAAAAAAATTGTCTTATGGATCTGAGAAACCTCACCTTTCCTGTCCTTGAGAATCATTGCATTAAAATGTTTATTTTTTTACAGAGGTATCAAGTTAGAATACTCTATTGAAACAAAATATCAACTGAATATGGCTATGGAGATACCAAGAATGAAACCATGCCAAGTGGGACTTTGTGAATTTATTTATGTAACACTAAGGCAGGTTTTTTTGTTTTGTTTAGTTTTTCAAAGACAGCAATCATCCAGACAGTTTCATTTTGTTTCAATTATTCCACTGTTGGACAGAGTTACTGTAAGTTGTATAAAAAAGTTTTCCTTTATCACTTTGAGGAGAACAATTTAAACTATATTCTGGTAGACATAGTTAGGAGAACTGTCAGGAAGTAAATTGTTCCTCTTTAGATGTGTTGTGACCAAGGCTTTGTTCATACCATCCACACTGATGCCCCTCAGGGTCCTGCCATACCCCCAGTGTGTTTCCAGAGGGAGGCAAGCTTGTCTTTCTGCAAAGTGAATGTGAGATTTCAGGCAAATACAGGGCATCTTGTATAGTTTTCTAAAGGGAAAGGGCAGTATAAAGGGCTTCGTTCTGAGAAATATGTATTGGGTTTATAGGTCCACATGCATACCAGATTTGATGTTACATAGAAGTAACTATGAGTTACTGGGATGTAAATGTTCAGATGGGAAGCTGACTGGAGGTGTTAGGGTTGAAGGGTGATGTGTAGAGCGGGTAATCTGGGTTGTCTTCCTGTCTTCCTTGTCACACCCTCTGTTTATAGACGTATAAAACAAACATAAACTGTGAGTGCAAGATTTGGGGCCATGTAAACATAGGAAGAGAAAAGGGTTGTTTTTGTTTTGTTTTACAGAGTGCTATTTCAACTACATTTTTATTTTAAAAGCAATCAATATTTATTACAGAAATTGAGAAAATACAAATAAGCAGATGCAGACATTTGAACATTTGTTAAGAAAGAACTTGTTTTGTGGGGGGGGGCTGTGTTTTTTTGTTTGTTTCTGTTTTGTTTGGGGTTTGTTTGTTTTTTGAGACCGGGTCTCCCTGTAGCCCCAGCTGGCCTGGAACTTGCTGTATAAACCAGGCTGACCTTGAACTCACAAGAGATCCACCTGTCTGCCTCCTCAATGGTGGGATTAAAGGTGTGCACCAAGAATTTGAATGCTTACATTCAGTGCTAAAAAGTGTATTAGATCCTTTTGTATTCTTCCACGCTATTTTATGTGTACATATGTATAGTTTAAAAATGAGTGTCCGGGGCTAGAGAAATGGCTCAGCAGTTATGAACACTGGCTGTTCTTGCAGACCTGGGTTTGAATCCCAGCACCCACATGGCAGCTAACAACTGTCTGTAACTCCAGTTCCAGGGGATCTAACAGCCTCTTCTGTCCTCCACCAGCATTGCATAACATGGGTGCATTTACCTACATGCAGGCAATACACGCACACACATAAAATAAAAATAATTTTTAAAAAAGATGAATGTCCTCTAAACACAGTAACATGTTATGGTTGTTTGTTTACTGTCTTGTGAACATTGTTTTATGTCAGTAAATGCACTCTCCTTTTGATAATCCAGGTGTCCCATCAGAAGTATACCACAACTTAAACCACGTGTGCCATATAGTTTCTTAGGAAACATTTGAACACCTTCCCATTTGTTTTCCTCAGGCTAAATTCCTGCAAGGGAAATTGCTACAGGGAAAGCAATCCCTTCCATCTGAAGAAAAGTGTATTGTTAGAGTGTAGCGGGTATCAGCTACCTCTTTTAACTTCAGTGTTACTTGCTTCTCCTTTACCACTAGTTTCATGGTCAAAACATGGAATTACTCATGAAATTGACGTGTCTGTGCTTATCTATCAGACACCAGCTCTTATTTAAATAACAGTCCTCTGAGAAGTTTTTACAATGTTTGTTTTGAATTTTTTTTCCTTCAAAAGTACCTATTGGCTATTAAAAGAACTCAGTACTTAACTTGTATCTTGATTTACTTATCTGGTAATTATTTTAGAACGAATTCTTTCTGTATATACTTGATATACTCTTTCAAATTGGTGAGCATCGTGTCAGCAAGTAACACAGCTTTCTGTATCTTTTAAATGGTGTTTTAAAACTACCAAAGAATGAAATTGCTGCTTTACCTTCTCCCTCACCCAGAAACAACTCAGAAGGAATCAAAAACCTAAATATAAGAACATCTATGAAACTCTTAAAGAAAACATTGAGGAAAGCTTTCTACTCTTGGATTTGACACTAATTGCTTGATTTGACAAGGCACAGACAACAAGAATAAATTAGTCTTCGTGAAAAAATTTCTGTGTATCAAGTGACAGCAGTACAAAGGCCTCCTGTGAAATGGGAGCAAAATTTAAAAGTCATTTATCTGATAAAAATGGGTCAAGGGGCTGGTGGTATAGCTCAGTAGTGAAGTGCTTGCCTAGCATGCACAAGGCCCTGTGTTTGATCCCCCACGCCAAACAAAAGAGAAGAGCTACCAAGATGACTCTGTGGGTAAAGGTGTTTGCTGCCAAGCCAAGCCTAAGGACTTGAGTTTGATCCTGGGACCCACATGGTGGAAGGAGAGACTCCTACAAGTTGTCAAGTTGTCTGGCTTCACATGCTCCATGACAAATTGCCTACATATACAAATTAAATAAATGAATTAATGTATGTATGTATGTATGTATGTATGTATGTATGTATGTATGTGGGAAAAAAAGAACAAAACACTTGATTGAGCATGTCTCCAAACAAGATTATGAAAAGATGCTGAAATGACACTTCATTATTGAAAAGCAAGTCCATTACAGTGAGATGCCACCTGTCGTTAGGATGACTGCTGCCAAACCAGAAATAAAAAAGAACACCACGGCGGACAGAAGATCATAGGGTTGGGGAGGGTGTGGAGCATTCTAACCATTGTACGTTGTTAGGGTACAATGGGGGTTTAAATGATGCAACTGCTCTGCAGAACAGGATGACACATCCTTAAGATGTAGAGTTCTCGTGGTCCGGTAATAACATTCGTAGATAAATATCCAGAAAAATTCAAAGCACTGTCCCCAGGAGATACTTATATTCTTGTGTTCATAGAAACATTATTCACAATAGGCAGAAGGGAAGATGATCTGTGTGTGTGTTCACAGGTGATCGAGCAACAAAATGAGTGTACATACTGTGGGATGTAGTTTAGCTGTAAAAAGGAAGGAGACTGATACATGTTATATCATGGATGAACTTTGACATCATACTCAGTAAAATAAGCCTGTCCTCATAGTCCACATATTCTGGTTCTGTTTACGTGAGGTATCTAGAATAGCTGAATTCATAGAAACCTCATGCAACAGTGGTTACCAGAACTCAGAGGGAAGGTAAATGAGGCGTTGTTTAATGGGGGAGTTTTAGTTTTGCAAAATGAAAAGCTCTGGACAAACACACTTAACTGTACTGCCTCAGCCTCCCAAGTGCATCTGAAAGGTATTAGGCAGTAATTTGTGTGTGTGCCTGTGTGTGTGTTATATGCATTGTACCCCAATTGAAGTGTTTGAAATAGAATAGGTATATATGTGAATGTATATATAGAGAGATCTTGTAAAAACCAATAGTAGACGTCTCTGGAGAAATAGAAACTACTAAGATATCTTTCCCATGGGGAAAGTTTTAACATGAGCATGATTTTTTTTTTTTTTAATTTTGCATGTGTGTAGTATGTGTGTATGTGCCTGGTGTTGTGTACACGTGCAGGTGGAAGCCAGAGTTCAGCCTTGATTATCTTCCTTTATCTTCTCAACTCTGTTTTTTGAGACAGGTTTTCTTGCTGAACCCAGAGCTCACGCTCACCAGTTGACTAGAATGACTGGCCAGAGAGCTCTGGGAATCCACCTGCCTCTGCCTCTCCAGCACTAGGGTTATTGGTGGGTACTGCTGCACCCAGCTTTTATGTGGATGCCAGGAATCTGAACTCGGGTCCTCATGCTGAGTTATCTTCCCAGCCCCAGTGAGCATGATTTATAGTGCTTTTAAGAACAAAGACCCGAACTGTGATATGATCATAGGTGGCACTCTATTTATTTATTTATTTAAAATGAGACTTAATAGTGTTCTGGGTTTGAATTTTTTTTTTTTCAAGATGTTTGGCATCTAATTTGTGATTTTCAATGATTTTTTTTTTTTTTTTTTTTTTTTTTTTTTACTGTGAATGGGAGCATTTCCCGGTATTCTTTCTCCAGTTGCTTGTTATTGGCATATAGAAAAGCTACTGATTTTTGTAGACTGATTTTATAACCTGCCACTTTACTGAAAGTGTTAATCAGCTCTAGGACTTTTTTGGTGGAACTTTTGGGATCTCTTAGGGATAGTATCACTCACTATGTACACCAGGCTGGCCTTGAACTCACAGAGATCCGCCTGCCTCTGCCTCCCAAGTGCTGGGACTACAGGCATGTGCCATCACGCCCAGCAAAACTGTATTGATGTAAAACTTCTTGTGCGTTTCTGACAGGGTTTCACGCTGTACTTCCAGGCTGGCCCCAACGCACAGCAATCCTGCCTCATCCTCCGAAGCGCTGGGATTACTGATGCGAGCCACCATACCCAATTTAAAGTTTATGAAATTTGGTCTCGGCATTTTTCTTTGGGATAGCTTTCTAAATGTTTTAAGCCATATGCTGACAGCTTCATTGTTGCTGTTATTAAATTAACAATTTGTTTGTTTTTCTAGGATCTCAATTCCTATCTTGAAGATAAAGTCTACCTTGCAGGATATAACTTCACCTTGGCAGATATCCTGCTGTACTACGGCCTCCATCGCTTCATAGTGAGTATTTAGGGAGTTTGGGGTTTTTTTCCCCTGTGATAGAGTGACTTTTTGAAACTATCTTGAATTTAAATCGAATCTACATTTTCGACTTCTCAAATAAAAAGATGAAAATTATTTTTAGAAACAGTATCTTACGCAGAATCATGGCCCACGACCCACTGAACAGAATTGCTTCCTCTTCCTTGATGCTTTCTTCTCGGCCTTCGCTTCTGCCTTTCTTCACAGCTGCTGCTCCTGTCGCCACCCTTTGGATTTGTTGTCTTCATCCTGCTCCACCTCCAGGTCTCAATGCCAGTGGCTGTCTTATGTGTGCCCTCTTAGAAAAGCTCCTTCAGTGTCTTGGCTCCCAGTCCTCACAGTTCTTTTTCCTTGCCGTCCACTCCCCCCACCCTCTACCTTCCTTCAGCCACATCTAACTGTCATCTTCAGCTTCTTTGTTCTGCTGTATAGTTACTGCCCTGTCCCTGTAAATCGTACCCTGGGCCAATCCACATAAATGTCTTTGTTCCTGTGAATAAGCAGAGCTCTGTTTAGAAACAGTGTCTTAAGTTCATGCCTTCTTAGATCTTTTCTTCTGCCCTAAAGGTTCTCTCAACTCCCTGTTACCAGTGTTTTTCTTCCTTTGTGGGAAAAAGGCTGCATGTGATTTTCTGTTTCTCCACCTCATGCACCAGTTAGATCTGGTGTTTCCAGCCTGCCGGGTACGCCTCCCTTGTCTCTTCCTTCCTAGAATCCCAGGTGACTTTTCTCAGAGCTCCAGTGACTAGTCTCATTGCTAGTCCATCTGAAGAAGACATAAAAAGGTGACCTAAGTGAGATGAGGCCAATGGCTACTAGACCATTGTCTCCTAAGACTAGGTTTTTTCCCTTCTCAAAATAGCTAGGTAGTTCTTCCATCCCTCCATCGTAAAAATTGACAGCATGAAAGACTGTTCCTCCTGCCTCCTTGCCAGACTTGTGGCTGTCTTTCTGTCTGAGCAGTAATGTAGCCCCTGAAGTCTTCTGGATACTGGTCTTTTCTTTGTATTGCTCTTCTCTCTTGCATCCTGGTCCTAACCCGCCTTCCTCTCAAGTTGATTTGTATTTCTTCAGGCATCTCTCTGCTGTACTTGTGATTCCTTGCCTGAAGCCCTCAGACTCCCAAAGCACACTGAAGTGCTTCCTGTTTCTGTTTGACCCCCATGGAAGACTTCATTCTAGTTCATTTCTCTTGGACTGAAACTGCTTCTGAAAATATCTCCATCACAAACTGCCTGAGTCAGAGATTGTGGATATTTGTATTTGTCTGACAGTTCCTGGCATTCATTTATATAGTTAGTCATCCATACATTAAATAAATGTTTTGAACATTATTGTGTACTTTTCAGGGAATTAAGTACATATACACAGCTATAGACAGATCTTACTCAAGTGTCTTAATATGTAGAGATGCCTTGGGGAGCTGTAAGCTACCACAGTAATAGATGATAGAGTTACAGTTTGCCCTCTGTGTCAACAGCTTGAACCAGCCATAGACTGGAAATACTGAAAGGAATTGCATCTGTACTGACACAGACATTTTCCTTGTTGTTCCCTGAGCGGTACAGTGTAACTATTTATATAGTGTTTACATTGTGTTAGACATTACAGGTCATCTAGAAATGGTTTACAGTACACAGAAAGCTGAGTACAGGTTCTGCCGTATATGACGCCACTTTGCATAAAGACTTGAGCATTTTAGATGTTGATATCTGTCAGTATGGCACAAACCCGCTGCAAAATCCAGTGGCTATCAAAGATCCTTAGTCCTACCACTTAAGCCATAATTCCTTAATTTGGATTTACTTAGCTTTATTAATTATAGCTTTTATTAATTATTCCCTAAATTAGGATTAGTGCTCACACCTGTAATCCCAGCATTTGGGAGGCTGAACCAGGAGGATTGCCACAAGTTCTAGGCTAGCCTGAACTACATAGTGAGTTCCAAGATAGTCTGTGCTACAGAGTGAGACCCTGTCTCCAAAAAATAATAAATAAAAAATTATTTTTCTCACATGGTTGTATTGGGTTCTGTAACATTACTGTAATGGCCTAGTTGGGTTAATTTGTCACAAAACTCCCCATTAAAAGCTTAAATTATTTATTAAGAGCCTACCATGTGTCCACTATTCTGTATTTGAGAGGGACACAAAAGAAGCATAAGTCTTTATTTTTAAGGAATTATTAATTTCATTGACGAGATGAACTGTTATACATAAAAGTAATGAATTTGACTGCTAATTTCTGTTCAAAATATAATTTGACCTCTTAAAGTGGCAGGTAATGGAAGAAGAAGACTCAACAAATATCTGCAGAATTGGATTGGCCTTTGGCCCACCAAGGGAATTGTCATTGTTTTATAAAATTGATGCTTTGGGCTGTAAATATTTCTTATGCATAGAATAGCCATATGACTTCTGAACCGAAAACAGTACTGTGGGCTGTAAAAGGAAGCTATGAACCACACTGCTCGTACCACAGAGTGGAGCGGGGAATGTTCCCTGTGCTTGTAATGAATATGACTCATTCAAACAAAGCTAGGAGACCAGGAAGTCAGTGTCTAATTTCTCTTTGTCCCCTGCTGGCTCTCAGCACAGTGGCCTGTCCAGCTGCAGCCTTGTGAGATTAGCAATGTTTAGTATTCTGCATCCATTCATGTTCCTATTTAGATTGTATATATAGTAAAATGTAATCTCTAGTTATGTTCTTCAGTATAACTGCAGTAATTATATTTAAATGTAAAGAAAGTTTAATTGGAGCTGAAGTACATCAGTACACAGTGGCTTTATTCCATTCTAGGTTCAAAATGTTTTAGTAACTTTTCGAATTTAGAATGATGACATGGCACAACTTACCTCATTTCAAAGGGAAAAAGGCCTCAAAGGTAAAGAGGATTTGCTGCTAAGATGTCCGAGCATATCCCTCCTGGTGGCAAACTAGCTCGAAGGACCCATAACTTAAGTGAAACTATGCTACAGTGATCCTGTTGTCTTAGTTTCAGGGACAGTTTGTGTCTCCAACAACAGAGTTGGTAGCTTTATATGTATTTAACATGAACATGTTTTTGCTTTATTTAACATGTGAAAGTTTAATATTAAGAGAAATGTGTGGCAGCTATCTGCAGGCTGGTGACTGTTGACTAGGGCCTAAGAGGTAAGGATGCTTCCTGTAGCATCAAGCTGTTATTAAGAAGGAAGATTTCTCCCATCTAATTTTTTTTTTTTTAATGACAGTGAAGTATAACTCTTGCAAACCAAGTGTATGTATTTCCCTCTATACTGGCTTATGCAGGTCATGGGTAGGAACTTGTGCAGCCTTTCTCTGCCAGAATTGTAAACACAACTGTAATTCCATAATGCAAAAATATTCCTAGTCCCACCAGCACAGCTTTTTACTTATGAGTCAGGTGCCTTGGAAGCCATTTGGTTATCAGGAAAATTGGAAGTTGTTCCCTCAGTTCTGAGTATTAAAATAACGTTACCTTTGTCCTTAGCCATTTGCACTAGGTATTTTTTCTATTCTGAAATATGTATCCTCTTTATCTGTAGTAACCAGAATGTTGTGATTAAAGATACTATGGTTATCTTTCAAAGCAACATTGTGATCTGGGTGCTGTCATCTGTCACCCCATTGCTCCCCAGGGTTGATTTGGCTGATCTGGCTGGCTAGGCAGGTGTCCCCTTCCTCCCTCAACATACCACATCCATCCGTCCCAATGCTGCATGCTCGGTCAAAGAGGACGACCTTCCCTGATAGAGGAGGACCGGGCTTCCGTCACGGATATCTGAGTAGGTCTGCTCCCCTACTAGAACCTCCAAACACACTTCTCAAAGCAACATTGTATAGAATAATACAAAAATCATTCTTGCTGGGCGTGGTGGTGCACGCCTTTAATCCCAGCACTTGGGAGGCAGAGGCAGGCAGATCTTTGTGAGTTTGAGGCCAGCCTGGTCTCCATAGCGAGTTCCAGGACATCTGGGGCTACAGGGAGACCCTGTCTCAAAAAGACAAATCATTCTGTTGACCATTGCTTTGGGTTCACGCAAGTCAACGCATGTATGTTCTCCCAGTCAAAGTACAAGCAGTGTTCACAGACCTTAAGAAATAGGCCTCAAATACTAAAGTCTTCACAATGACAGGGTTGCACCGTGGCGTTAAATGACATCTTGTTAGGTTGGTTATGAATATATGTGGGTGTATTAAGTTAGGTGGGGTGATGCGAAGTCTAGGCTGGCCACCTGCTTGTGTTCATTGTTTTTTTTCTGCTTAGTTTGCTTTGGCAGTGTATTGATCTTTGCCTTCCTTCATTCCTTCACTTAATGTTTTATATTATTAAATCCTTAATATGTAATCAGCACAATGTATAAAACAAAACCTTTAGCAATCATGGAACCTTCAGGTCATCAAATAACCCCCTGGGTTGTTCTGTTTTAAGCCCAGTTTAACAACTGTGGCTGAGGAAGTCTGACATTGCGTCTGTCTTAACCTCCTTGTGGCATGTTATGTTGTGCTGTCTTTGTCGCAGTGCTCTTATTGTAGCTGTTGACTATGACCCCAGTGACTCACTGCTTTCTTCAGCAATTCCACTAATAGATAGTCACTGTGAACAGACAGTGTCTTAAGATTACTACACTCCTTTGTGGTGCTGTGTCCTGCTGGCCCGTAAGATTGTTATCAGCTGAAATGCATTGGTTCTGAGACTTGGAGCAATGGTGGAATATGAGGGTCTTTGTCAAGGAAAGAAGAAAAAGCTGCCAGTTAGCCCAGAAGTACAGGCCATTTGGACCTTCCAAAGGCAGTCTGGGGCCAGGAGAAGGGTGGAAGACTAGCTCCAGTGCTGATCTGAAAAGGGTGTTTCTCATGTATCTTAGTGGAAAATATGTGATTCAGAATGTTATCTGTTTGACTTTAGGTTCAGAGTAATTATGGAGTTCCAGTATAAACAAAAATACATAGGAAGACACTGGCCCACGGACCAGTAGCAGGAAGTGGGCTAGAGCATTTGCAGTGGGTTTCCTCCATAAAGAAAAAATATAAACTAACGAGATGGAGATGATGGAAAGCCAATGTCATAAGTGAAATAGCCCAGGGATCCCATCAGAAGTGTTCTAAAAAATAGCAAAGTTTGGTAAAACAAAAACTCTCATGCTTACTTTGTTGACAGTAACTTCATATGCAAAGCACTTACCAAAGAGTAACAGGGGACTTGTCAAGGCCAGTCATAACAATCTCAGACTCAGATTCCAGAGTTTAAGCTATGGAAGATGTTAAGATGATGCCCTGGTCCTTTCCTGTGTATAGAGACTCCAGGTGTGAATAAGTTGGCAAATACTTATTTTGGCTGTGTGATCATTGTTACTATTTTAAATAATAGACCTGGTAACAACAAATACTGGTTCCGTATGTTAGCAAACCTTCTAAAATGTAAATATTAATTGTACGTTGCCCTTCTCACCAATTTCAGAATCTCAGTGTACAAGCTGAACATAGACCATATTATCATTATTTTACTGTATTATTTCATTCTGAAAATTATCCCACAAAATAGCTAAGTAGAGGTTTTTGGGGTTTTTTTAATGAAAGAGCTCTGGAATTCTAAGAGAAAGGTAAATTTGAATCATTTATTTATTCTTTCATTCGATCATTTTTGCCATATGCTGGGGATGGAACCTAGGGCCAGTTTTCAAGGCAGTAAAGCACTTACTTAGATACAGCATGCACAAGGCCCTGTATTCAACCCTTAACACAGAAAATAATAATAATAACTGCTTAGATTTTTTTTTCTCTTGAAGGCCTTGAAGAAATTATATTGATAAAGTTTAGAAAAAGAACAGAAGAATTAATTCATTTGCAAAATTTTTCAGAATATTTGAGTATAAACTAAGCTTTTTCCACAAATGATGGTTAATTGTCTCCTATGTAAATGCTGCTCCATTGTTTCAAACCTAAAAACCATACATTCTCTTTTAATAAAAATTAAAGCTTTCACACTAAAAAAACAAGAACAGAAAGAAAAAAAAAACCAACATTCTTACCCAGTTTTCTTGTCTAATACTTAGGGTTTTTAAAATCTCCATGCAGTGGATTTGCTCCTTTATTGTAGACTAAGTTATAGTTACAGCTTTCTGATAACTAGTCACAGTCTTACCATTTCAGACAGGTAAATGCATTTTTATAATTTGCTATGGCAGCTTGAGTATATGACTTCAGTTTATGTGAAACTTACATTTTTATGTAACAGAAACAGTGAAACTTCACAATTTAAACTGAGCTGATAACTAGAAGTTCAATTAAATATTGATTGAAAGATGCTGTCTACTCTTTTATTGTTAATGTTTTGTGTTTTGTAGTAATTGCTACATACTGAAATAGTTTATCCTTCACTTTTGTTGGTCCTGTGACTTGGTAGCTATTTGCCTACCCGCACACATACCCAGCCTCAGGACACATCTCACTAAAAGAGCCTCCAGACATGCAGGCCTGGGAGGGGGTATAGACCATGTCCAGTTGTTTCTGTTTATATTTTCTTTGTGTTACAGAGACTCACACAAAGAGTGAATTAATAAATGTTGAAATAACAGTAGAAGGGGCTATCCACACAGGATCATAGCTGCCAGTCACTACTGGTTTTCTCTTTACTGAACAACTTAATAATTCCAAAACTTGTCTTAGAGAAAGTCACCTGCTTTGGAATCTGAGCCGGGGGATTGATAAGCGGCTGAAAGATAGACACCTTCAGTTTTTATTGCATTTTTCTGAGATAGTGAGTGATTTGAGTCACTGCTGCATGCATTAAAAGACAATGATCCTTATTGCACACAAATGTAGACAGCATTTTGTGCATTTACTCAGCCTCCTTTCTAAGCCATGCACTGCTACAAAGAGCCCTTTCTTAACATTACGCTGTAACCACTTGAATCAAGCAGGTCACTATCTTCCAAGAGGTTTTCGCTCAGAGTTGAGCAGAAAGGTAGCAGTAGTCTCATAGTCTCAGTCTCTCTCTCCCTCCCCCGCCCACACTAGCTGTTTAGATGTGTGTATTTTTTTCTTTAACATAATGTTCTCTTATTAAATACATACAGTGCCAAAAAAGTTTTTCCTTTTTGGTAAAACCTATCAGAGAAAGGACCATATCTTAGTCTTTTGGAAGCTCTTCCTATCCCATCTTTTCCGATAAAGTTAAAAAATTCTTTGGGCTTCTAAATTCTACACAAATGTAGGTTTTGTGTTTGTGGTAAATTTAATATTTTCCTAGAAAGCACATCTGGTTTTGAACTGAACATTAGAATATTAAGCAAATATACTGCTTTCCCAAATGTCTGTAACTTTTACTCCTATCTAAATATGTTGGCTTTTGAAAACCACTGGGGGTGGGAGTGAGGGTGGGGTTCAGTTTCTGTCACTCATTGCCTGGTGTTGATAGCTATGTTTATGTAAGATAAATATTATACGTGTGTTTTTAATCTCTACTTAGGTTGACCTGACAGTTCAAGAAAAGGAGAAGTATCTTAATGTGTCCCGTTGGTTTTGTCACATTCAGCATTACCCAGACATCAGGCAGCACCTGTCTAATGTTGTCTTTATCAAGAACAGACTATATACTAACTCCCACTAGAAGTTCTCCTGCTGTGCAGAAGCAAGATTGAAAATGTTGTCATGAAAAGTGTTAGACCATGGTACTGCCATTAATTAATACAAAGTCATTGTTTCTTTGTTGAAGTTGGTAGAATTTTTAAAGTGTAAACTCAAGTCTCAATGTTTTATTTGTTCTTTAGTTGAAGTTTTGCAATTTTTTATGTAAAAATTCAACTGCCATCAGACCAAGTCATGATCAAATTATAAACTACTTTGTTTTTATAGGTGAGATTTAGATTTATTTTAATAAGAGTTTCAAATCAGTGGCTTAATGTTAAAAAAAAAATAAGTCATCTTGTAGTGGTTCACATACTTGGTAGTTATTCACCTTTTTCATATATTTAAAATTCATTTTCCTACTTTAGATATTTGCCATGGTTTATTAAAACCTATGATTAAATTATGCTAAAGATTTGGAAAGGGAAGACATGTATTCTTAAAATATTTATGTGAACTAGTAAATGTGGTTTTAAAATTATTGTTTCTTTCTTTCTTGTAGTCAGTATTTATTTTGATAAAACTCCCTAATCCCCATACCAAAAAGGAAGTAGAATAAGAAACATTCCTCTGCCTGGCATTGGCAGCCGTCCACACAGGCCTCTTCACGTGTCCTCAGAGGTCAGTAGTCTGCTGTCCTGGTTCCTGAGATCAAGGTCCTCTGTTTCCCTATGTTCCATCCTTTTACAGTGCAGGGCACCCAGCAGCTTAGTTCATGGTCACTCTGTTGGGTTGAGTTGGACTCATGAGGTAGCTGCTCGGTAAGGTCATGCAGCAGAATGTCTTTGGGTCCCAGAAATGGGAATAAGCAGGGATTCTGAGCCATAAGCTGCCTGGACATAGTAGCTTCCTTCTCAAGCTGGCTTCTGACTACAGCATGCTGGGAGTGATATGAGTCCTTCTCCAAAATGAGGCTACTGTGAACATTTCAGATCACTCATCAGAGTGACCCACAAGCTTGTGAGGACTGAAACTTTCCAGTCGCTACTTGTAATTAGTTACTGTTCATGTTGCTGTGACAAAACATCTGACAAAAGCAACTTAGGGAAAGAAGGCTTTATTTTGACTCACAGTTGGAGAGAACTCAGCCCATCAGGGTAAGGTAAGCAACAGTAGCTTGAGACAGTGAGCACACTGTGTCCATAGCAGGAAGCAGAGAGATGGACGCTGGTGCTCAGATCATTTTCTCCTTTCTAAGTAATTCAGAACCTTAGTCCATGGGATGGTATGGGCCACATTAGGGTGGGTCTACCTATAATGAATCCAGTCTAGAAACTTCTCACAGGCATGCCTAGGCTTTGTCTCTTAGGGGATTCTATATCCTGTCAAGTAGACAGTTGATACCAATGGCCACACTAAGGTTGCCCACATCTATGCTGGTAGAGTTCACTGCATTTCTTTCTCCCTTCTGCTCTCCCAAAGAAAAGTCTGCCCCTCCCCTGGCTGTGGGACTGCAGTGCCTGATTGCTGTTGGTGTTTTCTTTCTTTCTCTGCTATCACACCAAGTCTCCAAATGTTAGAAGGTCCCAGTCTGTATGTCCAGTTTTCAGTCACCACAAAGTGCCACTATACACCAGTTCCTTTAGTTCTTATTGAAGTGCTGGCACCTCACTCCAGCCTTCTTGCAGAGATTTAAAAGCCTGTGTACGATTCCCTCTTTTCATTTTTATCTGACCCCCAAAGTAAGGGAAACAGCTGAGGCCAGATTGAACGTGGCACACTAGGAGCTTTCAGAGACTTGTTTTGTTGAACACTGACATGTGAAGGAGCTTCAGTTACTGCACCATATTCTAGCATATTCTGCCTGATAATTGAACAAAATTTTAAACACTGAAAACTAAGCCTACAATGGGTTCCTTGAGGGTAAGTAATTGGAAAATAAAAATCATTCAGGAAGATATTTTAATGAAAAAAATAAAAACAGAAAGCAACTTCCCTAAACATTTGTGCTAGCCAGCTTTCTATGTTGTGAGAAAAACCAACTTAAAGGAAGAAAAAAGTATTTGCCTCATTCCTGAGGTTTCAGTCCATGATCACTTGGCGCCATTGTTCCTGAGCCTATTGTGAGGCAGAACACTATGGTGGATAGGGTGTGGTGGAACAAAGTGGCTTACCTGATTGGAGCCAGGAAGCACAGAGATCAGATGGAGTCCCTGAGGACTGACCCCCTTCAACCAGGTCCCACCCCCTTAGTTTCCATTGATTCCCCGTAGCTTATGACCCCATCAGTGAATTAACCCATTGGTGAGGTCAGGGCCTTCACTGATCCAGTCACTTCCCAAAAGCCCCACCTCTAAGCACTACTGCTGTGAAGACCAATCCATCAACACCTGAGGAGACATCTTAGTTAGTTCCAAACCATAATCGTGTTCAATAAAATAAGTGTATTTGAAATTTCTAAGCTATCCATGAGATGCATCTGAAAATGAGACCACGTATGTGTGCTCTTCTGAAAAGTGGATCCCTCTTTCCCACCATTTTCTATCATTCCCAGAAGCCTGCTGCACTGACCATTCAGTGAATGGTTCAAGTGTAACTTTAGCACCCACCATGTACTAGCTAGGCTTTGAGACTTGAGGATAAAAACACACCTTTGCCCTTAGAGATGTTACAGTTCCACCGCCGTGATCAAATTCCTGAAGCAGGGTGCAAAAAGCATCCTTTGGGAGGCTTCCAGACTCCAGCATTCTTTGAAAGTAAGTATTGGATATCATAACTGTGTTCTGTACTGGGAACTTTACGTTAATTTTATCTTGTGTTAATTTAGGAACTAAGGGGGGAAGACTCAGCCACATGCTAACCAGTGCCTTAGTTAGACCATGGTGGAATAGATGAGAATTGGAGACAACCTGTCACCATATTATTCACTGATGCACCTGCTCTAGTCAACTGCATGTCCACGTGGCAAATTTCAGGAACAGATAAAGAACTCCAAGTAGGGAAGGATTGTTCTTCCGCCACGGATCTATGAATTCGTTCATTAATTATAATAAATACTAGTTTTAAATAGAAATAATAAGAGCAATATAGGAGGCTGGAGGGATGGCTCAGTGGTTAAGAGCACTGGCTGTTCTTGCAGAGGACCTGGGTTCAGTTCAACACCCACATGGCAGCTAACAACCATCTGTAACTTCAGTTCCAGGGAATCCAATGCCTTCTGACCTCGGGCATTATATGACACAGGTGCACTTACATGCTTCATGCATCCAATACATTCATATACTTTTTTTTTTTTTGGTCTTTTTTGAGACAAGGTCTCCCAGTAGCCCCAGCTGAGCTGGAATTCACAGAGATCTGCCTGCCTCTGCCTCCTGGGTGCTGGGACTAAAAGCAAGGGCTACAACGCCCAGCTCATAAACATTTTTTAAAAAATTAAAAAATAAGAGCAATATAATAAAAAAAAGACCATTTTTTCATAGGCTCAGTTATGCCAAAAGCATGAAATTCATTTAAGCACACCATCCAGTTGGCAAGGGATTATTTCACTAGGGTTTTCAACAGACATAGTCATCCACCACCATTTGTCTGCAGACATGTACACTCCAAGAGCCCTCAGTTGATTCCTAGAGCCATATACCAAACCCTGTATATACTGTGCTTTTTCCTATATGTGCATACCTGTTATAAAGCTTAATTATAAATTACATACAGTAAGAGAAACACATGATGAATAAAATAGTTATATACTTAACACCACAACCGTTAATCTCACAACTGGGACAGCTTTGTGACCAGTGGGCAAGTAGACTATACAGCATGGATACCCTGGACAAAAGAGATGATTGGCATCAGGGCAGAATTTCATCGTGCTACTCAGACTTGTACACAATTTAACATGAATTGTGTATTTGGACTCCCCTTGACTGCAGGTAACTGAAACCATGGAAAGTGAAATCTTGCATAAAGTAGGACTAGTGTACATGAGAACTCTTGTTCTTTACTCTGTGTTTAACAGGTAGCATGCAAACCCTACAGGGACAAAGGCATGAATTACTCCCTGTTTAACAGGCACCATACATTTCCTACAGGGACAAAGGCATGAAGGTAGGCACAAAATGAGTGAGAAGGGTCCCCCACTGCCAGCACATCATCCTCAGTGCCCCTTTAAAACATATCTAATTCATGAGATCCTTTCTGGAAGTCTGTTCAGAATAGCTTCACGATATGATAAAAATTTAAACATAAACTATTAGGAAAGGGTAGAACGCTTATAATCAGTTTCACATACATTACACCAAAAGATAAAGTATACAACTGTTTGAGAAGTAGTCAAATCAGCATTACTGGGAAATGTAGCTTTTTCGGTTCTATTTTCCCCTAACATTTGACTTCATTCCTTTAAAAAGAAAAGTTAGATATTACATGAACTTTAATATTAATCTAACTTTGGCAGAGATGTGATTTAATGGATTAGAGCATTTAGCTTTTACCCCGGAGAGCAATATTTCTTCTTTCTCTCCATAATTAGATAATCTGCTGCTCCCCATTACCAGGGCACTAAATTTTGAATTCTCTATACACCTGAGCAGGCTGTTACATATCTGGCCATCTTAATTTTAGTATTGATTTATGGAAGCTGAGTTACATTCCTAACTCTTCCTGGAGCTCTGGGTGAATTTTATTGCAAAAGCAATGGGGAGAGAGTCACTATCATATATCTCTCTTGCTGGGCAGAGCTTTTAGACACACAAGGGACTCCATACCCCACTGTTCCATGTCGTGTATGCTGGATTTATAATGCTGTGAAGCCCAGCTCTAGGGTTACATACAAGCTTATCACAGATGAGATGGAGAATTTGATTTTGCAATAATGATTACTTGTTGCGGAGCCCACATTCCTGCAGGCTCTGCCTCTATTCCCAGTACTGCAGGTGAATAATACTAATTCCAACCGCTGCCTATTCTAGCAAAGCTCATCTTTCACTGATGAGAGGAAGGCCAAGAGAAGGTAGATGGAAAGTCGAGAGATGTGAGAACTTGACAGTTTTTGCCATCATGTCTCAAGCCCCTCTCCTTCCAATGGTCCTAATTCCTTTAGGGATATTTTAATTTTTTAATTTGTGTTTTCTTGTGAGGGGAATAAAAGCTTGACATCGTTTCCAGCTCAGTGGGTTAATTTGGTGGCTCCTTCGTGCTGTCTCTTCTGCTTCAATAAGGCCAGGTTCCCAGGGCCTGCCTGCTGTATTATGGACCCTGCAGATTGGCCTGCAGTTCCTGCCAAGTGTCATCTGTCCTTGCAGGCTTGCCTTGAATAAGATTTATTCTCCCTCACATCATCTGCTTCAGAAATTTGTGTCTGGCAGGCCTGTCTGTCCACGTTAAGCTTGAACTGCAATAGTCATACAACTAATTTGACAAGGCATAGCTTTAAACAATAAGGCCCTGGGCTTGCTTTGACCAAGACAAAAACCTTACAACCCCCAATTACAAATTCCGAAGCTCCTTTGGGGCAGTCTGTGAACTGCACAGTTAGTGTAATGC